TTCCAGCACCAGTGATGAAACAAAACTAACACAGGCTTCAGTCAGCTGTACATATACAAAAAAAAAAGCCTTCAAGTAAAATTTAAAATGCAATTCTAGCTTGTTTGACCAAGGACCTTTTCCAGCTGGAGCTTCTGAGACGTTTCAGCTGCTGGGGATTTGCAGTTCAGAGCAATGCTGTCATCATTGCACTTATCTTCGTCTGACTTCTGTTTCTTTCACTGCTCCCCACATATTCTCGGATTTCTGACACTGTGGCAAGGGCACTTTGCTCATACCCTGTTACAGATGCAGCATTTTATTATATCTGTATATTAATGCCTGCTGTGTATCTTAAAAAGCATTTTAAAAGAGACTTTCTCTTGCAGCCTGGCTTCTTAGTAGAAGCATGTAGCAGTAGTCCTAAACAAATGCTACATACAGATGGCTGCATATCTTAAATACTTGACCTTCCCCCACGCATGCTTCTTGTTTCTGTTCAGTTTGGTGGCCAACTGCTCTCTGCTCAGTCTGAGCAATTGTTTATGTTAAGACACTCTATGGAAGAAATTAATAGCTTGCATCAGCTGTATGTGCTTGATAACTGCTAACCATGCATTCTCACTCCTCGATGGATGTTCTCAAGGCAATTTAAGCAAGAAAGGTATTTGAAATTGAATATGATTCATGGTGTTTTCCTGAGAGGAGGGAGTTGGGGCTTGGAGCCCCTTTCAAAAGAAGGAAATTTTACCATGTCTTGTGTTTTCTTGAGGAGTTCAGTTAGGGTGCTTTTTTATTATTATTTTTTTTGTTTGTGTTAAAGGAATCTGAGGGGCACACTTGACTGTTATATATTTAATCATTGATGATTAAAGGTAGGGAAGCATCTGTCTCCTGGATCTGTTCATCTTTTGTGGGCGGTGGGCTTTTTCAGACAGAAATAGAACTGGAAATCTGTTGTGCAGGCATTTGACTTCTAAGCTTGAACCAAGTGGCTGAGCTTAGATCCCTCTTACTTTGGGTGCTGAAGCATTGAGCTAAACACCTAAATTTTGACCGTGATTTTAGATGCAGAAACTAGGTCGTAGTCCACAATTTTTATTATATACAGCATCTGTTCATAACTGTTCTCAAAGTAACTTGTTCTGTAAGATGTGGATCACGCTAAAATCTATCAGCTTTTTGAGTTGTGCAACATGAGGTGCAATAGGGTTTCTCTAATACAGTATCTCGTTTGTATTAATCTCTTGTAGTAGGTTTCACAAATATATCAAGTGCTCTTCAGTACTACAACTCACCATTGAAATTGCCACTAAAATGAATTTTTTTTCTTTGAAGACAGTAGCATGCACATTTTTACAGAGAACACTTCCCTCCCCCGGTCAGTGTTAAATTGTCCTCTTTTGCAACTTTAGAGACTATATGGGAACACTTCTTAAAAATATGCTGCTTTTTTCTTTTGTCAGAACAGAAGCTTGTTTGTAAATACACGACTTAAATCTTATCCATTAAACTGTGGCAAAATTCTTTACATGCTTAGCAGTGTGACAAACAAGTTTTTGCCTGCGTTAACCAGCTCAACTGAAAGATGATTTCATTTCGCTGTAATACGTTCTTTGGCACTTCATTTTATACACAGTTGTTTAGAGGACTTATTTTTATTTGCACTTAGAAATGCAGATTAGTTTGTCTCACTTGCTCTTCTTCTTAGTGCGTGAGTGGAAGAGGTGCAAGGGATCAACCCAAGAGACTGCCAAAGGTGGCCTGCAAGGAACAAAAAGAGGTATGTGTGTGAGGAGGGCAGGACCTGTTCTTTTTTGAAACATACTTTTTTGATTTATGGTATTTTGGAGGCCTGTATTTTTGCACGTGTCCTGCTTGGTGGTATTTTAGAGCTGTATGAAATAAATTATATACTTTCTGGGAAGCCTTGTGGTTTACCATATGTTATATATGCCTCACTTTTTACTCTAACTGAAAAATGAAACTTCTGCAGTCACTTTTTAATTATACAGGAAAAAATCACTTTTTAAAAATAATAACTGTTCTTCCTTAGAGCTGACTTTAAAGACAAAAACTCTGTACAGGCTGCCTCGGTTTTAAACCAAAGGTGTTGAAACCTAGCAGTGAGGGTGCTATTTGTGAATTACGCTTTAAGACAACTTTAAACGTTAATTTTGTAAGTTTCCGAAGAATTTGAAAATTCAGAACAGTTAGCAATAAAAGCCAGATCCCTCCCATGCTCTGCTATTGCAGTTGATTATATCTTGCAAGGGTTTGTAACTCAGATTTTAGTTCCTTTTGGATCTGCTTTGCACAGTCCACGGTAAAAGTTGTAGGTAGAGTTAACGTGCTTTAGACAGTCCTCTACCTAGAAACTTTCTTATGTTACCTAATTATTGTAGCTCTATAGCAACATTATTACAGCACAATGGTTACCAGGATTTGCAATTTGAAATGGAAAATGTGCAGAACTTTTAAAACCCAAATGAAATGATGATGCTGAATTCCTAAGCTTCCTACATCGGCAGGTCTAATAAAAGATGTAATATCCACCCACATGCAGCTTGCTTGTATCCCCCTCAGTGACACGCATCCTCCCTACCCTGGGCAAAAACAGTTCATGTTTGCATGTAAGGCTGGAATCTCTTGTACTGTTTAAACAGAGAAAATTACCAATGTTTATTAAATCCCTTTACAGAATCATTAATTTTACTCTTTTCTGTCATTTCCATTCTGGAAATGCTGCAGATGCAGCAGCAGTGTTTGATGTAGCAGCCAAAAAGAAAGCCAATGCTTGCACAGTCATATGTAATTCTGCATTGCTGCAGGCTAAAGAACAGCATTTATGAGAAGTACCAGGGTGCTTACTACACACTGCACAATGTTAGAATTCATTTAAACATATTTATAACACTTCTGTGCTTTGAAATGTACAAACAACAAACGTAGGTATCAAACTGCATGTTGAGGTGGAATGACTGGTATTTATTAATTACTGTGCGTTGCTAAATTAGATCAAGTGCAGTCAGATGCAAAGATGAGCTAAGAGTAGTTTTATGGACCAACATCTGTGAAACTTCCTTAAATACACAAATCTTATTTGCAGTGCATGTCAAGTGGCTGGAAAGTACAAAGTTATCAGTCCTGATCAGCTTCCAGCTCATGAAACTCAGAGTGCGTAGAGGCTGATGTTTTCAGGTGCAGACGTTTCAGCTGCGATTCTGCTGCTACAGAGGACTGAGTCTGGCAAGTAGTAGGGTAAATGTAGGGAAGGAAAAGGCGCTTCTCATAATGGTAATAGCTATTATGATAAGTGCTCCCGGAGGAAGGGCTGAGTCAATCTTTAGTGATCTACAATAAAAATAGAGAAACAAAATGAGGTTGGAAAAGGCCAAATAGTAGAGTATTAAAGGAAAAGAAAAATAATTTCTCCATTAATTGTGTTCTTCCCCATGATTAAATCTTGGTTTCAATTCTTAGGAAGCTTTTATCTTTACTTTGGCCTACGTGGAATGGAAGGGATTTATACTTTCCCTTCATTTTCTGTTTTCTCTAGCCCATGAAAAGGGACGTAATGCTTTTCTACAGGCATTCTATGAAACGTCTACCTCAAGCAGCTCCAAGAGGCAGCACACTTAATTTCAAGTAATTTGGAGGTTTATATCCCTCAGCAAAATTTCCTTTTCGGTACCCCTTCATTTTGTAGGAAAGCCTTGCTTCTGCCTGAGGGCTCTGCAATATGGCAACAGTAAAACGATGATCCTTCTTCTTACACCACCTTCCACTGAGCATAAAAGCTGAGGTTGTGTCCTGCTTCAGATTTATGGTTCCTTCATCTCTACCCAAATTCTTTAACAATAGAAAGGTCAAGTGGTTTTCCCTAGGCTTTAAAAAATAAATATAACCATTATTGTCTTTATGATCACTGTTACTGTTAAAAGCCCAGGCACAGCTGTTTACACAGTTACTCTAAACCCTGTAATACTATTTAAACTGCCAGCAATTTATTGTTTTTGCAATATAAAGCACCATGTGTCTCCAGGATTGCGCTAGGTGATGTGCAAGCATACAGTAAGATGTTTTCTACCTGCAGATGTTAACTTCAAGGGCAAAACCTGCAACCAAAATCGTGTCACACACCAAGGGGAGTGATAACAGAGAAGTCCATACTTTGTATATCAGCACACAAGCAATATATGTAGTTTGTAATATGTGAAAAGGAGATTATGCTTCTTTTTATGCATATAAGGGACAATTATATGCTTTAGAGCAATCCCAGAGCTCTATTTTTCTGCCATCATCAGAAGGAAGCGCTGCAGATGTGATATTTTAAAGGAGAGCTAAAGGAGCCTTGCCAAGCTGTGCTGTGGGGCTGGAGCCCCCCTCAGCCCGGCCTGCCCTGAGGAAACCTGAGCGCATCAAAGGTACGAAGGCAAAGATTAAAGCGTGCCCAAATCCTCAGCAGCAAGGTAGGCTTTGTTTTTCTCGGTCTGATCATCCTGCCAGCCTGGTGCTAGGGAAGGAGAGGACCGAGGCTGCTCACAGTGAGGCGCAGAGGGCACAGGGGGGGCCTGGTGTGCCAGGCCCGGGGTCTCCATGCTCAGGGGGACCATGGCTGAGGTGACCATACCGGGGGTGGCCTTACCCGGGGCCACCAACCCGGGGGTGGCCGTGCCCAGAGCCCCCAGCAGCCGCCTCAGCGCGGCTCTGCCTTCCCTCACAGCCCGGCCCTCAGGGAGCTGCCGCCGCTAAGCGCTGAGGCGAACACCGCGCGGAAAACACCCAAACACCATTTTTTTCATTTCATTTCATTTTATTTCCTTTCCTTTTACACATTTTTTTTTAATTTTTTTTCACCGGGGGGGGGAGGGGGCAGGGCACCCTCCCTTCCCCCTTTACGTGAGGCGCCGGCGGCGGCTCCCGCCGTGCCCCAGACGGTGGGCGGGGAGGAGACGGGGAGGAGGGAGGGGAGGGGGGGGGAAGAAGGAGGCGGTGCGCGCCCCCGGCGGGTTCGTGCCCGCGCGTCGCCGCCGCCGCCGCCGCCGTCTCCGCAGTGAGGTCACGGCGGGGGGGGAGAAGGGGAGCGAGGAGGGGGGCGGCGGCGCGTGCGCGGCGCCTGCTCCGCTCCCGGGCTGCCGGGGCCGCCGCGGCGCCGGGTGAGGGAGGCGGGGGCGCGCATGGGGGGGGGGGGCGGCTGAGGCGAGGCTGAGGCGGTGAGGGGGGAGCGGCGGCGGCGGCGGCAGCCTCGGGGCCTTGCGGCGTGAGGGGAGCGGGGAGGGGGCACCGGCACCGGGACGCTGCCGGTGGGGCCCGGCTAACGCTGATTGCACCCCCTCCGTGTGTCTCCCCGCAGGCCGTGTGTGGAGGGGAGGGGAGGGGACCCCCGGCACAGCCCCGAAGTTGGCAGCGCGGCGGAGCAGGCCCCGGGAGCCCCGGCTGAGGGCTGGGAGGCTTCTGGTACCTCAGCACCGAGAGGCTCCGGGTGTTCTCTGAAGGGAAAGCGGCCGAGGATGGCCGCTCCCGCACCGCCTCCCTGCCTGCCGAATCGCCCTTCCCGGCGATTGTGTGAAGCGGCGGTGGGGTGCGAGGAATAACCCGTATCGCGGCGTGGTTTTATGGAAGAGAAGCGAACAAATATTTATAAAACTTAATCGTCTAACCTCTCCAGTCTTAATTTTGTAGTATTACACGCGAAATGGGTCACGGTTTTTTTCCCGTTGGAGGCTGAAGCGTTAACTTCGTACCGACAGGAATGCAGAGCGTGGTGTGCTGGAGGTAACCGAGATCGCTTCAGATTGTCGTGGTTTTCGTATTTTTTTATACAAACCAGCAGGAAAATGCACGCTCGAGACTTTAATTAATTAAAGGGTCTGGTGTGTAGCGATGGAAAGCCCGCAGACAAACTTCCCGCTGGGTCTGGTTTCGGAGCAGAAGAGGACGGGGATGCAGGAGGACGGGAGCCCCCCGTTCAAAAAAGCAATGACAGAAATGCACGTAAGCAGCCAAGTGCGAGTCGTAATAAATAAATTGCCAACAATAAAGAAGGAAAACTTGGACGAGTATGATGAAACTCCTATGGAGGCTGATGGGGAAAATGCCAAGCCAAACAGTACTTCAATCTCTGAGCCTTTGAATTTAAATCCAGGTCTGAAACACACATTGGCACAGTTCCACTTGAGCAGCCAGAGCTCCCTGGGTGGACCAGCAGCTTTTTCAGCACGCTATTCCCAGGAAAGTATGTCTCCCACTGTCTTCTTGCCTCTTCCATCGCCACAAATCCTGTCTGGTCCACTGCTCATTCCTCCAGACAGTTCCACCGAGCTCACTCAGACGCTGCTGGAGGGGGAATCCATCTCTTGTTTCAAAGTCGGAGGGGAAAAAAGACTTTGCCTGCCTCAAGTGTTGAATTCGGTTCTCCGAGACTTTTCTTTGCAACAGATTAATACCGTGTGTGATGAACTGTATATATACTGCTCAAGGTGCACTTCTGACCAGCTTCATATTCTCAAGGTTTTGGGAATTCTTCCGTTCAACGCTCCCTCCTGTGGGCTGATTACACTGACTGATGCTCAGAGACTATGCAATGCTTTACTACGCCCTCGCACTTTTCCCCAAAATGGCAGTTTTCTCCCCGGTAAGAACACCTTGGCCCAACTGAAAGAGACTGGCAGTGCCTTTGAAGTAGAGCATGAATGCCTGGGCAAGTGCCAGGGTTTGTTTGCACCTCAGTTCTACCTTGCGCCGGACGACCCCTGCATCCAGTGCCTGGAGTGCTACGGGATGTTTTCACCCCAGACGTTTGTGATGCATTCGCATAGATCCCCCGACAAGAGGACCTGCCACTGGGGCTTTGAGTCAGCCAAGTGGCATTGCTACCTTCACATTAACCAAAAATACTTAGGGACGTCAGAGGAGCGGGAGCTGAAGCATCTCTTGGAGGAAATGAAGGAGAAATTTAGTGAGAAAAACCAGAAAAGAACTCGGTCCAAAGTAAGTTGGCCTGCTCGTGTAGAACTCCTGAATCTTTCTCTGCTCACACGTAAATATGCTGTTTGGAAGCACGTTGCTTGCCTTTTGTAAATGGGAACGCTTGTCAAATCAAGCCCAAGTTAAATCTGTGACAGGGCTTCACCATGGAAATATATTTTCGATGAACAGGTGCTGTAATTTTCCTCTTTGGGCCCTGAGTAATTTCATTCAAGCCTGTTTGGTTTTGTTGGTCCTTTTTCCATTTTCAGATAGGCAGTCTTTGGAAAGTTCAGAACTGTTGCGGAAATACTCATTCTCCCTTTTGACCTTTGAGTACGTTTTATGCAGTATGCCTTGCGGCAGCTGAGCACAGCAGAAAGGAGCTTGAAAATCAAGTGTTGCGAATTTCTCTGTCATTTGTTAGGTTTACACCAGCACACACGCTCATGGTGTATGGCCACCTAGCCTGCCAACCACCCATCCCACGACTATGTGCAGGGTAATGGTGCATCAGTAAGTTGCTGTTCAGAAGCCCAGCTTGTTCAGCTTTCTGTTTAAACCAGTGGTACAGAGAAATATGCCAAAAGAAGAGGGGGTTTTAAGCTGTCCAAGTAATGAGCTGTAGGCCGGTATCTTGACAATGGTTAATAATAGACATAGTATTTTTTCCTAAAATACCACTGCAAGTCTGCAGTGTGGCTCAAAAATACAGAGCTGCTTTTTCCCCAGTTGAAATAATAAGACGAGCACCAGATACATGGTGAACGTTGCTGGGGAAATAATCATGTCATGCTCAAGGAATAAGTTTTTAAAAGGGTATTTGGTAGGGAGCAGAGAGTAACAAGTAGATGACAATGAAATGTGCAGGGAATGCCATCAGAGATGTTTGCCTTTGCAGAATATACAAGTTTATTGTGCATAATTTAAACTTAGATGTTCTGAAATGGTTCCTGCCCTGCGCTGTGTTTCTTTTTAGTTTATTGGTCATTTAAATGTCTGCTCGCTGGCTGCTGGTTTGATTGATCCCTTTTGCCTGTTGGGTTGTGGACTCCAAAGGAGCAGCAGCAAGAGCAGGCTGGATCAATGGGCCCAAAAAGGTGTGCAGGGTATTTGACACCTTTCAGTGTAAGCTCCTCAAAACGTAGTGTTGCAGAAGGGCTTATGACAGGAACAAGTATTTGTACAGCTGTGCCAGCCTGCTGTAAGGGATTTTATCAGAACATTTCCACGGAAGTCTGCAATATGGCTTGCTTCCACATGCTGAAGTGCTTAGAGATACAGGTGAGCTCATAGCGAGGAGACTGCTCGTCGTCTGATAAAGGCTGTCGTGACAATCTTTGTCCTTGCAGTGCCAGTACAGGTAATAAACTGTCTCGGAGTACATGCATCTGTGGAAATAACCTTCCAGAGTCACACCTACAATACTGCTTGCTTCCTGCTTTATGGTGGCAGATTTCTGACCACAAGATCTTTCAGTTTCCTGTATACGGATGAAAAAATAGCTCAAGTTAACAGTAGCAGTCATTTGGACTGGACTGCTACAAAAGAAATATTTAAAAAAAAACTCTTTCTGGAGTCTCCCATTGCACACCTGTATAGTTCTTTCTTCTAAAGCAGCACATGAAATCAGAGTGGGAGAAAAACTCTGAAAACTTGAGCAAAGATAAAATGTTGGGGAGGTTTTTGTCTTTTTTTTTGGCCTCACGGATATTCATCTTGAAAGTACAAAAGGTTAGAAGAGTTTAATAGGGGAGTGTTGGGATCACAGCCGCTGCTTCCTTGTCCTGGGGAAGCTTCTGTAAAATAAGACCCAAAGCAAGAAGAAGCTCGGAGGTAGTAATAATACATTTCTAATTAAACCTTCTAATTTCTAATGTCTTTGGGACATTCCAAATGAGATCGTGTGCCTTGCCTCTCTCCTTAGCATTTCACTCCAAGCTTACTCACCTCCCAGCGTACTTACACTTTTGCTTTCAGTATTTTAACAGTAGCCCAATGTTGGCCCTCCCCTGCACACAGTTTTGTGCTAATAAGAAAACTGTAGGCTGTGCATTTGCCACCAAGTTTCTTGTTTTCTGGCAAGTTCTGGGCTCCGTGGCATCACGCCTGCCTGCCCACTGTGGAAGTGCCTTTGGAAGTGCACGCGGCACAGCCCTTGGCGTCGCCACAGTTCTGGTGGTTGCTGCACTAAAACTGTCCTTGGTTCTCAGGCCACGAGGTGACCACTGTGGTTAACTCCAGAAATGCCTCTTGAGACAAATGGCAAGACTTGCTGCCTAAATACGGAACGCACAGAAGGTTTTTCTAAGTTGATGTTTTCTGATGCAGCCAGAGTAATCTTGTTTGTTACTGTGAAGGGAATGGAGTTGTCAGGTTACTGCAGCAGCCTTGCCCAGATCTCTAATAAAAGGTCTCAACTTCCTTTAGTGGTCTTCTCTCTAACACCAGTCATTTGCACTTCATTCTGGTGTTTCATTTTGTAGTAAAGCATCTGGCAAGTGCATATTATGATGTGGATAGTTTATTGTAGAGGCTCATACAAGCCTTGGAAGTATGAAATCCTCTTTCTGCCTCTCTCAAGCACTCGTAGCATGTCCCTGGCAGAGTTCTCAGCAGAGCTTTTATGTAGGTTTGTAAAGAGATTTTCTTTCGGTTTCATTGCTCCTTTACCCATAATGGGAAATTGGAGATGGAAGAAAATTCTGGTGCTTGCATCACCCTGTACCTCTGCCAAAGGCTGTCTGCTTTCCAGTACCCCAGTTTGTCTGCTGCTGCCCAACTCTGTCTATCTGTATTAATGAAGTGCCATTCCACTCAGAAGTGTTTATTAAAATGTGAATAACGTGTGCCTCTCTATTACAGGCACACTTACTGGGCTTTATTTATTTATTTTTTTTTCTTCGCTTTAGGTGGATTCACAGCAGAGCCTAGAGTTACCCCAGTGGTATCCCGTTATAAAGCAAGAAGCAGAAGCTGAACCTCAGCCACCTTCCTTTTTCCATCCCAGGTAACTGAATTTCCTGTGCAGACCTCTGAGCATCGTATGCATGGGTTAAATTCTTTTAACTATTTAAAGATGGCTTCAAGTGGAAAAAGAAGTATGTACTTGCAACCTGAAGTGTTAGGAAGAATAATCGAAGCCTAACTTTTATTAATTTCTTAGTGTAAATATTAATGAACTGCTTATGAGAGAATTATTGGTACGGGACTCGAGTTGTGATGTATGAGTGTTCTTCAGTAGGAAATAAATTTGAAATGTAATTACAGTTTCCCTTCTCAGAGTAGAAATGGCAGAAGCTAAATTTTAATCTTTCCTGTTGTAATGTAACTCATGTCTGTGAAAAGCTGCACAGGGCCTATTTACCATGAGTGCAACTTAATTTGCTTTCAAAAAAAAAAACTTGCAAAAACTGTCTGAAGACTTTATCCCACACTGAAACAATGACTGCAGCTGAATTGTTGGTTGATTAGTTTCCTGGTTTTAGAAACCAAGTGCGTGTCCTTCACATAGTGTGCACTTTGTATTCTGCATCAACCACAGAAACAGCCTTTGTTGAAGTACCTCTTACCCTCCATCCCTGCGGGGCAATGCATTTAGTTTGTACGGGTGAGATCAGGCTCTTTGGACAAGCAGCATGCATCAAAGCGACACACATGCACACTAGTTCCATGCAGACACATGAATAGTAGAACATTTCTGATGGTTCCTCTGTTGGCTGCTTCTATTGGTGCCCCTTCAGAACCAGGAGGAAGGAAAGTGGTGAAGGCAGCAGTGTTGACTCCAACGTCATGACAGTAATTATCTGGGCACTGACCTTAACAGATCTGGCAGTTTTTCGTTCTGTACTAGATGAAAGCTGAGTGGCTAGGTTAAGGAAATAGAAACAATTTTTGCTAGAAGTCAGGAGATGTGAAATCCAGACAGATTTGTAAATGTACGTGGAGAAAAAAGGTGGTCTGATGCTGGTCTCAGGTTTGCCACAGCACTGTCAGTACACAGCTTTGCTGTTTAAAGCGCAGTTTGCTCATTCCCACTACACTGATCCCTTCCGCCATTCTCCGTTGCTAATACGAGGATTATGAAAATGCTAGAGTCTGGATCTGGTGCCACTCTAATTTCACTCTTTGCATTTAAATGAAGACTTCAAATGAGTTTGGTATGATTTTTTTAATCTGTCATGTTTGAAAAATCCGTTTTTTGATGACTGTAAAACTCTATCTAGATAATCTAGTCAGTAAAGATGAAGTAGGTCATTAATTTCTTTTGTGCAGGAAAAATTTTGAAAGGATGTGCTTATTTTTCATTGGAACTTTTACTGTTTGAAATCAGATTAAATTAAACTTACTGCTCTCATTCATCATTTGTTACACATTTTCATTCTTGATTGTACTGTTCTACTGTTGCAGTTACTACCTTTATATGTGTGATAAAGTGGTTGCCCCAAATGTATCTCTTGCATCACAATACAAGGACGTTGCAAAAACAGCAGTCAAAACTTCAGAAGTAATTAAATCTTCACCTGGACAGTCAGAGAAAAAGCTCAGTAGTGGAAAGCACAAAAAAGTTGCCTCGTATCCAGAGCTTTCTCTTGAAGAACAGGAAAAAATTGACTTGAAAACTAGCATGGAACAGCATAAATGTTTAGGTGAGTGGATAAACTATAAAGAAAATTCTGTTGAAAACTTTTCAGTTTTATAGCATATAATTTTGGAAAGCTCAACACCAACCCAGTATTTTCTGATTGTTTCCACTCCAGTTTTCCAAAAATTCTTTTGACCTTTTCTTAATCTTCAGTCCCCTTTGCATTTTTTTTTCCACTCTAAGGTTAGTTTCCTGTGATTATTAGGCTGTGTTCTTCTTTTATCTATAGATCCACCTGTGTCAACTCATTCAGCAAGAGGTGGAAAATCCGAGCGCATTTCTACCAAAAGCACTAGAGACTCTAGACGCGTTGAAGTAGGTAACGTGAGAACCTTGTCCCCCACTCTCATGAAAGACATCAGTTGTGAAGATGACAAGGGGAGGATCATGGAAGAAGTAATGAAAACCTACATCAAACAGCAGGAAAAACTAAATACTATTTTGCGGAGGAAGCAGCAGCTTCAAATGGTACAGTGCCAGTCTGAATGCCTTTAATGTTTGTCTACAGAAAACCAGAAAACTAATGTTAGATCTTTGGTTGTAGAATCAATCTCACAGGTGACTTTCATGTAAAAGCACCAGAACACACAGATACTTTTCCACCAGCTTGAATCCAGACAGCAAATATTTAACGTCCTGTGCGTTTATTAGGTTGGAGTTTACTAATAATCGATGTGTTTTCAGTTTGTAACTACTGTGTTCAAGGAGCTCCTTTTATTTTATCCACATGAAAACTACCTTCAAGTGTTTTCCAAACATATAAATATAGTTTAAGTCCTCTAAAAATTTCTCAATATTTAGGATTTTAAGGATCCTAATATCCATCAATATCCTCGGAATGATGCTATCACTGCCATGTGTAACAAGAATACCACCTTCCTATTTCTATTTGATAAATCTTGTTTCTAGGGGATTTTATTGATCTTTTTAATAATGGATGACATTAGAAATTGGTGTTCATTTGTGATTTTGCCTCATTTCTATTTTCTATATTAACTTAGGTAAATACTGTCTTGGCTGCTTACATTCATAAGCCAGACCTATATTTTTTAACAGTAAGCTCAGAGTTGGTCAGCTCAGATAGGGTCTCAGTGCTGATGCTTTTAAGGTGTTCTGCTGTTGGAGGTAAAGCTTAGAGAGAAGTTTAAATATATATGTATATTTTTCAAAAGGTTTTAATGTTAACAGAAAAAGAAGCCAAACTGTTTCTGGAAGCGCTGGGTACTTGAAAATATAAATAATGTCATTATATTGAATAGAGCTCTTGCTACAAAATTCCATGGCAGCACTGATAAGTACCATTACCAGGCTATTGTTATCTTAACGTAAATGTGCTCTTTTGGGCCTCGTTGTTTCTAGATACACATTTAAATTACAAGACCAGTGTTTTGCTTCCCTGGTGTTAGAACCAAGGTGTATGTAATCCTGATCTGTCTCCATAGGAAGTGGAAATGTTAAGCAACTCTAAAGCTATGAAGGAACTAACTGAAGAACAGCAGAATTTGCAAAAAGAACTTGAATCTTTGCAAACTGAGCATGCTCAAAGAATGGAAGAATTTTATTTTGAACAGAGGGACTTGGAGAAGAAACTGGACCAAGTGATGAAGCAGAAGTGTACCTGTGACACCAATTTAGAAAAAGACAAAGAAGCAGAATATGCTGCACAGGTGAGAAGTGTTTAAGTAAATTGCAAAGTTATCACTCATCCAATGTAAGGTTTCGTCTTCTCCATATCTTCTGATGCCATAGACTAACTCCAAAATAAGGGACAATGACAGCATGTTTATTTCCCTGTCCCTTGACTGAAACTGAGGGAGAAATTTACAGAAACACTTCATCTGTCAGGTGCTGTATGGTTCCCTTTTCAGATACTTGTGTCATATTGCTGAGGAAATAATTAATCGTGAACATAAGGTCTACAGTATTCTCATTTAAAATAAGTAATGTTTTTAATGTATGTAGGCTTGTCCATGTTACAGAATTAAACATTATCATTTTAGTTACAGAAATAAGCTAAGCTGATAATCTTTTTCTTCTTTTTATTGGGAGGGAGGAAGAGGCAAGTACCAAACCTCTTGACTTCCTTTGCGTCAGGTTAGCAGCATACCTTGCTGCTCTTTGTGTTCCTTGGTGGTACCATCTTCTGCACCATCTGATGAAACCCCTTCTGTGCTCTATCAAAGTATTTGATCAAGAATTCTCTTTTGGAAATTTTTGGGGGATTTTTCCCCCTGTTCCTGTCTCTTGGGTTCAAATATCATAACCTATGGAGGTTTTTCTTTTACCTTCTTTTTGACTTGTACTATTGCTTCTTTATGATGGAGGTTATTCATGTCATTGCAATAGGAAAAATCCACTACATGACCAAGACAGACTTGGAAAGTCCCTTTTCAAAATTCGTTGCTGTTATGATTAAATGTGTATTGAAGTACTTCATGCAGTCACAGAAAACATAGTCTTTTAAAACAAACAAAATCCAAAACATAAACTCAGTAAAACTTTGTGGTCATTTGATCATAGTTTTATATATTATCTGTTCTTATTGTCTCAAAATAAGAAACAGGCTGTACTTGAGAGACTGGTTTTGGTATTTTTAGGGAGTAGGGCAGTGACTAGCATCATAAATCCTTCTCATGAATTTAATTTCATGACATCCCGCTCCACAGATTCCTAGCCTTTGCTGCCAGAACTAATCCTCTCTGACTAAGGTCTGATTTGCCAAACATCTGGTACAAGCCCTATTACTGCAAGTAACAACATGTTCTAATTTATGAAGATAATCACGTATGGTGTGTTTTGTATGGCTTGTGTAGTTTACGTTCTTTAGAGGATAAAAAACATAGATTGTTCCCCAAGGAGGTATATCAATTGTTTCATTTGATGTTAGAATACTAAATATGTTCCTTCCATGAAAGTATTCTTGATTATTAGTTGTCTAACTATCTGGAATATATCATTTGACTCTTTTTCTTCATTTACCACATCTATTTTTTGGACCCCAGGTTCCAAGCAATTGTCAGAAGCATCTGAGCTAAGCAGAGGTCCTGGCAACAGTTAATTTCCCAGAGCTGTCTATACAGCATTGAAAGCAGCTTTAATCTGATGTCTTCTTGAATCCAGTTGCCCCTTTCTCTCTGAGAACTGTGGCCTGAGAAGTACATTTGTACTCTCTGTACATTAAATGAAATTAATGAAAATAGAGGGGTTGGAATTTGGTAAATGTTTGCTCTTCTATCCAGCCCTGCCTGAAGATGTACTAAGTGTTTTCTCCTCCTTTTTTTTACTCCTTTGTTGACTTGCCTAGTTTAATTGCTGCTTTACCCTGTCAATCACAACAGGGCAGTATAACCAGTACTGAAGCCTTTCCTTACAGCTGGAAACCAGAGCTCAACCAGAGACCTGCTCATGTAGTACGTGCTGTGACATGCAGGCAGTGGGCTTTACCGTGCTGCACCAGTCTACGTAATCAAAGCAGTGGAGTCAGAGGACTCAGTGTTAGTAGGCTAGTGCTGTCTAAGAACTACTAAAATATTTCTGATTATATTAAGAACTGTTTAAATGGTTCTTATTACACAAGTGAAGGTCAATGTCCATTGAGCAGTATGTTTCTCTGAAATCAGCACAGCAGTTTCTGTTGTTTTTTTTTTTCAGTGAGATGTACATGTAGCGATTATTTAGATAGATACCCATCATCATCATAAATGCAGATGGAGTTTTTAGATTCACTCCGCTTCTGAATCTATTTTTAAATTCAGTGAGGTCTTTTCATAAGAAACAAACATGTAAATCAGTGGTAGACAAGATAACTGGTTTCTAGTCTCCCTGTTGTAACTGAGGGTAGCATACATGTAGGCAACTTGACATGAACTTGGTCACACTTGAAAAATTCCTTAGACTTTTCCAGATCTCACTGTAAAGAAGTTTTGATTGGAAAGAACCGACCCAATAAATTCAAATCAGTTTCTTGATTATTTAAATCTAGGTGCAGTATTTATACATATATAAGTATGGAGTTGGACTCAATGATCCTTATGGGTCCCTTTCAACTTGGGATATTCCATGATTCTCTAAACAAACTGTGGTTAATTTTAAAAAATGATTTTGTTTCATATATATATATATATAACAGAAATGCCTTTTTCAGTAGTGGCTGGTATCATTTGGTCTACTTAAGTCTTTCTGATGGTCTGGCAAGTTTCACATTCATGGTACTCCAAAGATTAAAAACTTATTAAATTTTCTGCATTGAAGCACAAAATATTTCACAAGAAATCCTGGATAGACTTGTGTTTATATTTGAACACACATAAATGCGGTTATGTTCAGGATTTTCTGCATCTCATTTCACTTTCATTTATGCTAAAGAATGTCAAAAGCAGTGTTGGTAGTTTTTGCATGTTCTAAAAATGCATTAAGGCTTTGGAAAAAAAATATAATATTTTGTCAGGTGAGAGAAGTTAACTTGGGAAGTGGAAAAGTGCTATTTATTTTGTAATTTGTGAAACATCTGATGCAGACATTATCACGGTCTTCCGTAACATATTATTGATATGGGCTGATGTGGCAGTTCATCTAACTAGAATTTATATGTGTTTAAAAATCAATGTCTTCCATTTTTTTGATTATAATATGATGTTTGTGGAACTTTCCTTATTGGTGTCATTTGCTATTGGTATAGTAGGTGTAGCATAATTCTTGATAACTGTAGAAAATGAGCTGATAAATAATCGTGAAAAATATTTCTATCTGATTCATAGGGTGGTCATCAGTGGGTTCTTGAATGATTGATGTTTACAAATACGTTTGCTAAAATTAAATGTCTGTCTTCTCTTTTACAGCTAGCAGAATTGAGACAGAGATTGGATCATGCAGAGGCAGATAGACAAGAGCTTCAAGACGAACTGAGGCAAGAACGAGAGGCAAGGGAAAAGTTAGAGATGATGATAAAAGAATTGAAGCTACAGATCTTGAAATCTTCAAAAAATGGAAAAGGAAAATAGAAATTCAAAGAGGAAGCATGACTGTGTCTTTCAAACAGGGTGTTTTGTTTTTTAACGAATTGTAAGCTGTTTCTGTGTGATAAGAGAAAGTATTCTCTACAGATTTCTATTTGCCAGACAAGTCCAGATGAAGATATACATATATATAAATAAATAGACACGTATACATTTTTAGATTTTCCTAACTAATGAAAATCTGCATTTATTTGTACTGGTGTTTCTCAAACTATTGAAAAAAAAAAAAAAGAAACTTATGATTCAGAGTGACCAGTTTCTGTTGATTTCTAATGCAGTCTTGAGGACCCTATACCTTTTAACACTGTCTGTTAAAATATAGTTGGTGATCTTTATTTTAGTATCAGTTGCACATCCAGTTATAAAAAAAAAAAAAAAATTGAAAATTCTGATTTCTTCAAGGCCAAGAATAGTTTGGGTTTCAGTGAGAATTTTGTGTTTTCTAATTGGAGAAAGTAAAGGCAGCTTTTCATCCAAAAGGTAATACTCAAAATCACCATGACAATAGATGACTATCAGAAGTGATTTGCCAGCATGAGTTTTTCCCATAATTTTGTTACGTGAAATCAAGCTGATCTTTTCCATATGTGCTATTTAACAATTCATTCTCTCTGAAGCATTTTACAGTAATCATTTGGTTACTATGCTAGAAGAAGAAAACATTAGGCTTTTTTTTGTAAATTAAAAAAAAAAAAAGCATCAAAAATGAAATCTTCTAAAATATAAAAATCACATTTTTTTTTATTGTCTTTTGTACTGCAGGTAAAGCAGACTGTTTATGAAGGCTTGTAGTGACAGAAGAAAGGGCAATGGTTTAAAACTGAGGGAAAGTAGATTTAGATATAAGAGAATTTTTTTAATGATGAGACACTGGAACACGTTGCCCAGAGAAGTTGTGGGTGCCCCATCATTAGAAGCATTCAAAGCTAGGTTAAACAAAAAAAAATGTAAAAAGGAAATTAAAAAATAAATAAATAGGAAAGAAGATAAAAAAAAAAAAAAGTATTGGTTTCTTTGGTACCCCAAGCCTCCATGCTTTGAGCTTCTTGCTAACTAGTGGGTTTTTCTTTCATCACATAAAACAGGCCTTAACTGACATAATGATAATTGCTTAGAAAAATCAAGTTCTAAGATATGGCACTTTGAAAATCACTTTGATAGTTTCTGCATTTGAATGGCATGGTAACGTTGCCATGAATTAAGAAATACAGCATGTTCGTTGAGCTATAACATTTAAAAATGTGTAATTGTACAGAATTTCTGTTTTATGTATATATAACATTTACTTGAGTACTTCAGAAGTCTGATGCCTGGTAGATTCAATGCATGACTACAGATTAAGATGAAGTACTTCTTTGCACTTCTTTCCAAAAAGTTTGATATAGCTGACAGGTGTTAGCTGATTATGTCGATGACTAGAGATGTCTTAGCAGTTTTGTTATTTCACTACATAATTTTAAACTGTGCTTTAGCTCCTGTTACGTTTTTTAAGGTACTTAGGTTTATAACTCTCATAATAATTCAGTTAGTACTGGTGAAACCACTAGTAAAAGCCTACTAGCATCGATTTTTATTCTGAACTAGTAAAACTGAAAACTTCTAGTTCTTCCTTATCTCTCTGTTAGTGGTATAATAGGATTGAGTATCATAGAGAAAGATAAAATTGCACAAATCTTTCAATTGAATGAAAAATTAGGTAATAAATGTCATGGAGTCATAGAATGAGTCTTTTATAGCTGTATATAATTTGGTCTATGGGCTCTGTGTCATATTTACACTGATAATTAAGGCAGGTTAGGTGAAAAAATATGAAACACTTTGGCAATGTTAATCAGAAAAGAGGGCCCAGATTACATTTTTCCCTTCTTCCTCAACTCCATCTCCAAATTACGACTGAAAGAAAAATAAAAGACTGTCTTTACAGCCTAGTGATGGTTTGGAAGGAAATGTACTGATTATAAATTATTCTGCTTGTGTGTTCACCACTTGCTTTAAGATCACTTGTATGTTTTATTTTAATAACCACCAAGAACATGGCTGTAGGGGGAGTGGGCAAGGATGTTGGTAAAAGTGTGATTATTGGGCGCTGCAGCTTGAAGTTTGGATTAGCTGAATTGATAAATAGGAAAACACCATCATGGGGAATGACGAGGTTTCTTCTGGGTATTATCAGAGGATCAAAAGAGGCTGTTTGGAGCTGCTTTTCAGTATCAGTGTTTTGAACCAAACTTGTTCACTTGTCAGTGTAGAGAAGGCCACGCGTTAGGGCTGGAGTTTACGCAGTGTTTGTAGCTTAGCTGTCGAATGTATGGCATCCTCACGGGGTTATTATACCAGAGTACTGTATATTCACTCTTCATTCAGGTCTTGTCCGTGTTATGTGACTTCCGCTCCCATTTCCCATTTTGCCACTGGTTGCAGTGGGAGACCAGTACAGCCGGGGGTCTGTGCCTCGGGCAGTGCTTCCACCGCGTGCTACCCAGGCTCGCTGGCTCCTGCTGTAGACCAATAAAATGCTGGTGGCCGTAGTTTGTACTAATATTTTCACTGCTGCAAAAACTTGAGCAGTTTATAGCAGTTTTAGCAATTCCAGCTGCAGGTAAGGTCTCCTAATACTTCTAAAACATCTGGCTGAAAAAGCTAATTGAGCATTTATTAAAATGACTTAAAAAGTAGCTTTGTAAATATTCCATTTAGTTAATCTGAAGTTAGGATGCATTTTAAATTGTTGTAATCCTCTTAAAATTCTTAAATACTACTTTCAGGTTCTTTAACATAACATAAATAATTTTCATACGTGTAGACTTAATTTTATACTGATTTTAAGTAATAATGTATACATAAATGTGCCATAGATTTTGTGTGTTCGGTCTTTGAAAGATAGTTTTTTAGTAAATTGTAAATAATATGATGCAAGTTCCAGAACAAATACATGTTGACCCTTTTTCACTACCTTATGCTAGTTAATATTGAGTGGTTTATTTTACAACTCAATACAGGAACTTGGATTGAACGCTTAAGGGCCTTCACTTAAGTGCACACCTAATGGTAGAAACGAATTCTGTCACTAGGTACCTGCTTTTAGCCATGGCATGCTCGTTTTATGTGTTATTGTTTGTTCTGCCTTCAGGTTTTGGTTGCTGACCATTTAGGCAGGAAGCTGTTTTCTCAGATAGTTGTGACATTAAGTCTTTAGGAAGAAAATCCTGGAATTGTTCGCAATTTTAAATCTTCGTTATTAAACACCTAGACTGAAATCAAAGTTGCGTAGTGCACCTTTTAGAACAAAGTAGGATTCAGGCAGAAATAACTAAATTGCTCCTACGCTTTTTGACAAGAACTTTCACAAGCTTTGTGTGCTCTGATGAGCAAGAGAATATAAGAATCGAGAGAAATTTTGCCGGTCTGAAAGTACCCTCATTCATGGTGTAGCCATGTGTCCTTAGACGAAAGAGATTTTATCTAAAATCTCCAAACTTGAGTCCGTCTGTGTTTTAATTTTTGTAAAGCATATATTTTAGCTTGAGAACTTAGGTGAATGTAGTTACATTTCACATCCTCCAACTAATTTTATTCTATATTTAATATATTAATAGCCTAGGTGTAAAACCATTTGTATATAGTAAAGGCATAATGCAATTAGTGAAGTAGGAAAAGTGGAGTGGGAGCATAAAGCTACCAGTGGCCTGAAAAAATACGGCTTGGTCCATATTTTAGAAGTCACAACTGTTTATTCATACATTCTTGATTTATACTGGGGGTTGGATAGCTATAATGTGTTAAGAAATTTTTGGAAAACTTTCCTAGCATTAGTTGTGAAGTTGGCCTTGAAGTGCTGTCATGGTCAGCTTCCTAGAATTCACTTGTTTGTAGAGTATATATTTTGACTGTCAGCAAAGATAACAACTTTGTATTTTTTCTGCACTTAATTCATGTAATTGATCCACACAACAGAGTTTTCTATAACATGGTGAAGTCAACAAACGACATAACGACACCTACCTGTTAATCTGTGCTTGAACTATACCAGTAGTTTTATTGAAGCTGTCAGCAGCAAGCAGCAAGAAGCTGCAAATTTTGATCTTTTTGCTCATTTGTAGTGAGAGAAGTGTTCATCAGTGTTTTCATTACAGAAAGCTTGTAGAATTTTCTATTTGTTGCACATCTATTTCAAAAAGATCCTTTTTTTTTTTTAGCTTTTGTGAAAGCAGACATTGCTTACCAATCGCATGACAAGTTCACTGTGTGTCTCTATTATTTAGATTTTTGCCATTACTTAATTTTTTTTTTTTTCCCAGAGTTAGTGGTTCAGTTGGGAAATGCTTGAAAAATGAGTTTTAAGCACTTCATCAAGCACAGCAAATGGTTAAAATTTTGTATTTGGAAAATTGATTATATGTAACAATACCAATCGATTTTTTTTGTCTTCGAATATAGATACCTCACTTAAAGGAAAGCACAGTTATACTGTATTTAAAATAATTCTAGGAAATAATAAAAAGTTGGTCTAAAATATTTTGTTGCAGTTACGTTGCTTTCTGTGATGGACAAAATCTGTTTTTGTGTTTTCCTACTTGCTCTCAGAAGTATTTATTGATGTTGACATGCCAATACGATTATCTGAAATTCCAGAAAGTAGTTGCAGAACACCAGTCTGTTTAGCTCAAGGCGACAGGGTGGATGACTATTCCGAAACCGTAGTAAAAGCCTGTGAAAACGATCAGTGCATTCAAGGATTTTTAATACTTTGCCAATGATGTACAGTCTTACTGCTAGCGTTGCTGTGGTTGCATTACATGACACACAAAACTGTCCTCTACCTCACGTGAGATTAACAGATATTTTATATGGTTTTAGTAAACAAGAGGCTTCTATCTGGTCACTTAGTTTACAAATTTTGAATTATATTTATTGAAACATGACATACTGTGCTCTTAGCTTATACCTCAATTGTATTTTGTGCTGTTATCCATTTTCATGCCATGTAAATACATGTACAGATTGTGGACTCAAAAACAAATAAAAAACTGTAATGTCACAATGCTTGTCTTTGTAATGTTTTTGTACACTGAGATACAAATGTGACTTTCTGAAGGTGTTTAACAACGGTGCTTTTTTAGAGAAGACAATCTGCCTTGCTTTGATCACAATAAATTAAGACCTGATTCCACTGAAGCTTTGTTAGCAGAACTCCCACAGCCTGCAGCAGCTCCCCACTTTTATAAAGGGCATTTTTAGCAAAACCTACAAGGTCTCCCTCACAGTGAGTCTGTTTCCTAAGCCTTGTAGGGCTCCATGAAGATATCGACAGTAACATTTCTCTGTATCTCGACACAGAGTTGGTATTTGTATGTGTAAACACAACCACTTGTGTATTTGGCATGTTCTCCGGTGCACAGCTTTTGTTGCTACTTAACTGCTCCAGCAATGTTTGAGTCGTTCACACCTCTCCTTATTAGATCAGTAATGAAGAAAATAACACACATCACCATACAAAACGCCGCGATGTATAACCATTTAAAATCAGAAATGATAATTATACTTTATTTGCTGAAAATATTTTTATTTACTGCTGATGGAAACTCTGCCCTACAGTGGCTCTAAGGAGTTCCCAGGTTTTGTAAAATCCACAGGACTACGTGGTTTCAAATCTAGGAGATGATGCTGTGATCTGTTGAACACAATCATGTCTTCCAAGAAGAACAATACAAGTTTCACTCAAGAGATGACGTCTATCTCCTGAATAACAAATGAGCAAACGTATTTTGAGGGAAAGATTAAATCCACATAGAACCAACCCCTGGACAATGTGGAGATGGCACCTGGACATAAATAACAGCAGTAAGCATCGAGGAAGTCAATGGCAAGACAGCAGGCAGCGTGGCTTCACAAAAATGCAATTAACCAGGCATAGAAAATGAAATGACAAGGAGTGTAGGCAATGATATAATGCAAAAGCAACCATTAAATTTGTGTTTATTATAAAAGCTCCTCTTTACAGGTGATTTTCATCCCTGTAGTACTGTTTAGGCAGTAACTACAGTGGTCAGATGAGGCTGTGATGAAACAAAGCTGTGGCCCCTGAATTGTGATGCTCAGGAATGTGAAAAATAAGGCTCTGCATGGTCTCGTTCGTGGTTTTTACTTTGTTTGCTAAGGAACGGGAAGAATACTGCTGGATGGAGAGCAGGATATGTTTCATTCACGATTTACTAACCCTGGAGCATGGCTTTCAATATTTCTGTTTCATCAACAGCCACAGGAATGAATCAGTCACTGTTTGGTATTTTGCATCTGATTTTTCCCCTGCCCGATGCAGTGCAGGATGCACTCCGCTAGTGGTCTCCCCAGGCACGTTTTTTTCCGTGTAAATCCAAACCCTCTGCAAAATCAGAAGCTGTGGTGGACACGCGGTGATGAAATTTCTTTAGGGATGTGTTGGCGTCCAATAACATAAATGTGTTTGCAAAAATACAAAGTAAAAACGGGAAAATAGCGTGTCTGCCTGTTTCTGCAGATACAGGATTGTCTGTGAAGTTTTCCTTTTCACATTTGGAAACGGGCTCTTCTTTGTTTTATGAGGTAGGCTAAAAGTTATGCCCGTAATGAGTCTGAGTAAAAAGCCACTTATTCTAAATGTTAGCGTTTAAAAATGGAAATGAGGTGCTGCCTAAAGCAAACTTAAGACTCCGAGAGTGTTAATTAAGACTTTTGAAACCTCAGGCATGAGAGAACGCGGAGATGGCTCTTTTATGTTTTGCAGTTACTGAAAACATCAGAAAAGAAGCAAGACCGATGATGTGCATTTACTGCAGGAGTGCCGGTGGCTCTGGGGAGACGATCAGTTCCGTCTCTCGGGTAACTCTGTCCACCACGTTTCTTGCCTTATTTTTCCATGACGTGACAGAAGTGTGATCGTTTGTCTTCAGCCCTAAAACACCGCTTTGGTTTTTATCTCGAGCCTGAATTTTCAGCAGCCAGGCTGCCTGCACGTGAATAAAGTAGCCTGTTTTGTCATCTGAGCACTGGAAGGGAGATTCTACATCCCCTGTCCGCATCCTCCTCCTCCTCCAGCTCCCTGCGATGAGCTGCCAGAAGTTGGGGCTCCCCCCTTGCTCCTCCCATGCGCTGTGGGGCTGGAGGCAGCTCTGACCCCTCCCAGGGAGGGAGCTGGGCAGAGGCAGCCCGATGTGTGCTCGGAGACCTCTTCCCACCAAAGTCCAGTCCCTCCCGCTCCCAGCTGGCGGCAGGTCCCAGCAGCAAGCATCCTGCCCTGCCTCGCACAGCCCCGCAGCCTCCTCTGCCAAAGCTTTGCCCCTGCTCTTCTGCCCAGCTTGTAGGACCAGGGCCTCATCGCCATGGTGGCCACCTGCCTGCACCTGGCTGGATTTGTCTGCAGTTTCATCGGGTGGATCGGGGTGGTGGTGGCGACGGCCACCAACGACTGGGTGGTGACGTGCGGCTACACCATCACCACCTGCAGGAAAATGGACGAGCTGGGCTCCAAGGGGCTGTGGGCAGACTGCGTCATGGCGACAGGCCTGTATCACTGCAAGCCCCTCGTGGACATCCTCATCTTGCCAGGTACGTGTCCCCCTCCATGCCCTTGTCCCTCCTGCCCCAAGGTGCTGCTCTGTGCTGTCCTGCCGTGGGGTGAAATGCTGGCGAAGCTCCTTCTGCTTCATCAGCCTGGGAGATGGTCCATTAAGTATGCTAAGGAGTGATAGCCCTTAACATGATACCCATTAAGTTCTACCTGGTTTTAATCGTGCCTAGGTATGATGTGTTATCTCTGGCTATTAAAATCCACTTAATGCTATCAATCATTGCCCTTAATAAACACTCGCCGTTTCTTTCACGTCTCATTTCCAGGTTGTACTGCAAAACATACATGGTATATTGAGATCTAAGAGAGTATTTCAAATTTCGCTTTGAGATGATGACGAACTGTTACAAATGTTAAGGATCAATTCCTTGAAATGATTTTGAGTATAATGAATCTTTTGGCATCTATTATTAATGCTGCTATGGCTTTTAATCTTCTGAAAGATTGTCATCGGTCTTGACGGTCTTGTGCTTCGGATATGTTCTAACACAAGACAGAGCTTTTACACAGTAAAGAGATATAACTACCCTTAATTTGTCATGATACTTTCTAATCATATAGTAATTTTCATCTAGTTTACTGCAAAGCAAACATTAAGCAAGGTGTTCCGTCAGTGTTAGTACATCTTTTGAGCTAACTAAATCCATCTTTGTGTGATCCTGTCCCTGTAAGTTCAGTTAATTATTTTACCTAATGATTTTACCTATTTAAATTGCTGTTAACTCTATGGTGTTTCTTTGTTCTGCTACATTTTAGAGTACACATCATCAAGAATTTCAGAGGTGCCCCTTCCAAAGCTGACAGGGTAGAAATAACCATTCCTTGTAGCTTTCATTCATTTTTCCTTATTTATTTGTTTAAACTGTTGTGGAAATAATTTCACAGTTGTTAGAAAGATAATTTCTGAAATACTCTCTGATACGATGCCTAGTCAGTATTACACAGTGTTCGGCAACTTTGAATCTCTCAGACCAGCTCCTATTTTTCCCTTCTGTGCATGTATACTTATATTTTAGTAGATTTACTTTCCTTATAGCTACTATTGTTAAGCAGCACAGAAGAGAGAGAAAAAGCTTGCCCAGAAGAAACAGTATTGAATGAAATTTAATAAATAAGTAAATAAGTCTTTCATCAAAAGAAAGAAATGTTTCTTTTCAGCAGAAACAGATCACAAAGCAAGATTCTTTTGCTTGTAACTCATCTGAGACCCATAGCTGTCCACGAGAGAAATTCGTCCTTGCTCTGCCTGCTCGCTGAATTGTATTTAGAGTCTTTCATTGACTGAGCCAAGTCCTTAAACTGGTGTGTTTGTGTGCATGTTTGATTGAGATCGATTACACAGAAACCACACTGGGCATTGCCATCTTCTTTGTTTTCTCATTTTCTGCCCTTAACCCCTTAGAGAACTTTGTTTTGCTCAGTTTCCTGCTGAAAAATCAATGAAATGTTTGTTATACCTGGGCTCTGCCTTTTCAGGAGGAGTGAAATCCTCATTGCTGCTCTCTTATCCATATGTTGGTGGGATTTGCTTGAGGCACTCATCTGCTGCTATTCCTTGAGGCATCACAAAACACCATGTCTGCATGTGGCAGCTTCATCTTGTTAACAGGAGGGGAAAGAGAGCCAGCATTGTCACTCCGTGGGGGCTGTCCCGAGAGCTGTATGTACTCAAAACTCAATATGTTCTGACACAGTCCCTCACAGACGGGCAGAAATAGCCTGCCCTGCATAGCCCCTGTTGTCCCTCGCTGCCTTGTGCTGCCTGCTGTTGCTGCAGGGGACAGGAAGGGCGCGGTGGTGCCTGATGGAAGGCCAGGGGATCCCGTGATGTCCAGAGGGACCCAGATGAATAGCTTGGCTTTGGCTGTGAGAGCTGAAATAACTCTACAAAGTGCAGTTATTTCTCTTCCTCTGTCAGTGCCGGTGGTCAGCTGGACTCCTGTTGTGTGACCCTGGTTGCTGTCCCTCCTTCTCCCCGGTCCTCAGCTTCCCCTGGTGGCAGTATCTCATGGACCTGCATGTTTGAGTGATGGGTCTTCAGCTCTGCAGCCCTCCTGACCACAATCTTTATCTGGTGGTAGCAAGCTGATCTCTGAGTCTTTACATTCTAGTTATTTATTCAAGGCTGAAGAGATTCAGGAAAACTCCTTCCTCCCTGTTTCCTTTGCTGTCCCTTCCCCTATTTCCCAGCTCCATGATGTCTCCACATCTTGCTGGGAAGGGTTTGTGTTTTCCAGGCAGTGCTCCTTATGCTGTGGGAAATTTTGAGCTTGAAATGCGCTATTCATGCACTAAGCATGGTACCGCAGTCTCACTGTCAATATTTATTCACACAATGGCTTGAACCCGTCTCCAATACTCCATGCACATGTTCTGAGCCCATCAGGCAGGAACCTTCACCCAAAGTTCTCCACCTCCTGAGCCGAATAATCAAA